ATGCCCCTGATAATTAAATGCCTCTGTTGGTCAGAGCATTGGCCTTCTTGGAAAGAGCAATGAAAAGTAAATGAAGTGAAAAGCCTGTGGCTGCTGAACGGCATCTGCAGGGAATGAGGGGGTGAGCTGCGTCCCACTGTTACTGCTGGAAAGAGCTTCTGACACCTCCCGCTGAGGCTTGTCCCTCCTCGGAGGGGACCCATCCTGCACATCCCTGGAGCGATGCTCCATGGGCTGAGGCTGTGTCTCTGGTCTTGCAGCTGCAGGTGTGTGTGGGCAGGAGAGCAGGCAGCAGCTCTCACCTGGGCAGGGAGCCCAGGCTGGGGCAAAGCATAGCGTCCTCTGCAGAGAGCAGCAGGGCTGGGCCGGCGCTGGGCATGTTCGTGATCCTCCCTTGTGGTTTTTCTCTCCCAAGCAGTCAGAGGGAGCCGGGTGCAGGGGAGGGACAGGCTGCTCTGCTCTCCAGCCCATGGTGTTGCTGCAAGGCCAGAGTGGAGTTTGCTCCACTACGTCCCTAATGTTTTCTGTGCCTGGTATTCAGTGAGCATCAAGTGTTTTTGACCTCCTCCATTTCTGCCGCACCGCGGGTTCCCATCACCAGCATACGGTGCGGATGGCTTGTGCACTGCTGCCGGGTGGAGAAAGTCTCGGTGTTTCTCCCCTCGTGCTGATGGAGAGAGCACTGGCAGCGGCTGGTGTGACACCAGCGTGGGCAGCGCTGTCATGCTGCGGGGGAACCGGAGGGGCCTTGGAGGGGAGGGCTGGGGCCAAGGGAAGCAGCCTCACACTGCCCTCCCGGACCACCAAAGCCACCCCCTACCCCTCCTGCAGCAGAGGCAACCCCCCCAGCTCCACTGTCACGGGGGGACCCGTTATCTAGCAGGGTCGTGAGGGCAGCCATGCCATCCCCCTCCCAGCGGCACCATCCTCATCCCTGGTGTAGGAGGAGGCGGCTGCTGACCATCCCTTGGCACCCGGCAGCTGTCCCAAGAATGGCAGGTTTGGTGTCTCCCCTGCACCCCGTGAGTGCTCCAGCCATCCCTCCTGTCGGTGTTCGCCAGTACGTCACCATCACCATGCTGGCGTCAGCTCTGGCCCCGCCTGGCAGCGGCTCCT